ATTCTTATCTCTTAGCATTTTAAAATCAAAGACCAGAACAATATTCCTATGAATATATTCCTATGAATTCATTATAGATGGTTCGATGGCTTTAATTGGGAAGGTTTAAAAACGAGAACTTTGGAACCCCCGATATTACCACGAGTTCAAGGCGCTACAGACACTACGAATTTCGACGCTTATCCAGCTGATTCCGATCCACCGCCACCCGACGATATTTCCGGTTGGGATAACGATTTTTAATGCAAAAAATATAAAGGATTTCTATTTAATATTCGCGTTTTTAATCTAGCAGGAAATTGTAATAGGACATAACGCTCTCTCGATTGCGAGATAATTGGCGACACCTGCATTTATTTATACTTTTCTCATATCACGTGATATAGAGATTACAGTCGCATTTTATCATATTTTTCGTCATATTTCATAATAAGTATAATCGGAATTTGTGAATGAGAAAAATTGCATTATGATAAAATTAAAAATTTTTATGATTTTGATGAATTTCGGATGATGCAAAAATTTAAAAAGAACTACAAATTTTATATTTATGTCGCGTTTGACGGGTTCTAGAAGCATCTTCTCCAGTGTTATACATTATAATAGGATATGCAAGTGTCAAGTGCCATTATTACCTCGAAGAGGTAAACTCATACATGTCATACTTGTGCTCAGAAACGCGGTCAGAAACATGCCAGAAACCGTCAGCTCAAGTCCAAGGGACCTCTTGCCATCCATTTAACTTGTCAAAATGCATATAGCTTGATCGATCAGATGTTAAATTTTTTATGGCAAGTTCATTGTTGTTTGATTACTTTATAGTTTATTGTAATAATTATATTTTAATTAATTATATGTGACTCTTGTAAATAATGAATTATAAATACCGTATAAATTTTTAATATGGGATATACATCATGCAATATAAAATTTTATTAATAACAATTGTAGGTGTGGCTACAAGAATCAACCAAATTCATTCTCTTTAGTGACTTGTATTGTAACATTTAATGATTTTTTTTCAATTGAAATTGTATATTGCAATTACATTTGTAGGAAGCATTATTTTCATGTTAAAAATAGTAGCAAAACGAGAATAAGATTTTGTAAATATATGGCGCATATATTGTACATATAGATTTCTTTGTAATATTTGAGAATATAAACTTGGCTGGTTCTTAGCCAGACATTCAATTGTATCGAATATGTATAACGCATTTGTTAATTTTTTTTTTATATGTAAAATTCTTGTATTTCGAAAGATGGCAAATGAAAAGTGAAAACAGCATTAGGATAACATTTCAATATTTTAATAAAATCATGATACATCGTAATTTAATATCGCTATTTCTCTAGCATTTAGATATAACAAATTGTACTTGTAGTTAAAACGCGCGAAAAAGAACAGGATAAAAATTGCAATTAAATAAAAGTATCTTTTCTTATGTATTTGGAATAAAGAAAAAAAATGTGTTTATATAAATAACTATTTGAGAGAAAAAAACAAAAACTATTTAACAATAAAAAATATGTGATCAACAATAAAATTAATGAATGAAAATAAAATAACAATATCAATCAAGTATAAAACAATTGGCTCATTTGTGACAAAGGATATTTTCAAAATTCATAATTGTATTAGTATTATCCACACTTTAGGCTCGTATTGATTTTGGAGTAGAAGATATTAGATTTCTTAACACTAAAAAGAACATTTAATATCAAAATACAAAAATAAAAATATTACAAAAATAAAATAATATTATCAATTATCAGAGTAGACACATGATATTTTAATTTATATTTTTACATTGATATTTTTTATTATTGGATTTTATGTACATGCCATCTCCAATATTCAATTAGAGACTCTCACTTTTTGAGCGAATTTTCAACTCTTTGACAGACAAAGAGAGCTTTTCAGCTAGGAGGCACAATTAAATAGTGATAGAGACAGGAG